CGTGCCCCCGCAGCCGCGTGACTCAAAGGTAGGGGCATGGCTCTGCTCGCGCCGCAGACGACTGGGCAGGGCGCAGGCTGATGACGACGATGGTGATGGTGGCGGCGATGGTGATGGTGATGCTGATGATGATGGTGATGCTGATGAGGAGGAGGAGGATTAAGATGAGCATGCTGCCGGGGATGATGATCTTGGTAATGATGATGATTCCGATGATGTTGATGATGGTAATGCTAATGATGATGCTGATGATGACGATGCTGATGCTGATGCTGGTGCTGATGCTGCTGTTGATGAACATGATGATGCTAATGATGCTGATGATGCTGATGATGATGCTGATGATGATGCTGATGCTGCTGTTGATGATGGTGCTGATGATGCTGCTGCTGATAATGATGATGCTGATGATGCTGATGATGCTGATTCTGATTATGATGATGCTGCTGGTGGTGGTGATGGGTGGTGATGATGCTGATGCTGATGATGCTGATGGTGATGCTGATGCTGATGCTGCTCTGATGATGACGATGGTGCTGGTGATGCTGATGATGCTTGTGTTACTGATGAAGACGATGAAGATGGCGATGAGGAGAAGGAGGGAGATCATTGTGGTGATGGTGGCGACGATGATAATGCCACGGAGGCGGGGGACGATGAGGAGGAAGGGGCCCTCCAACCCTCCACTTCGTCTCCTTCCTCCCTTCTCCCCTCCTCCCCCGCCCCCCGCCCCGTCCCCTTTCCCTCCTCAATTCTTTACGCTTCGCGTATCCCCACCAGCCCATCTCACAGCAGCAACTCTTGCGAAGCATGCCGACAGTCGTGTTTTTCAGGCGTGTGTCCGCTTGGCCCCGCATATCTCCCCTGTTCCTCCTTCCTCCCGCCTCCTTGTACATCCTCCTTGTGGGGGGAGCGGGAGAAGGACGAGGCGGAGGAGGAGGGAGAGAAAGCGCTCCTCGTGTTTGAGTCGTTTGGGGTTTCTCGTCCTGGTGTGAGTCGTTCGGGCCCTTCTTCCTGGTGTGAGTCGTTCGGGCTCTTCGTGGTGTGAGTCGTTCGGGCTCTTCGTCCTGGTGTGAGTCGTTCGGGCTTCTCGTGGTGTGAGTTGTTCGGGCCCCTCATCCTGGTGTGAGTCGTTCGGGCCCCTCCTCCTGGTGTGACTCGTTCGGGCTCCTCGTGGTGTGAGTCGTTCGGGGCCCGCGTCGTGGTGTGAGTCGTTCGGGCTCCTCGTGGTGTGAGTCGTTCGGGCGCCTCGTCCTGGTGTGAGTCGTTCGGGCCCCTCCTTGTGGTGTGAGTCGTTCGGGCTCTTCGTGGTGTGAGTCGTTCGGGCCCCTCGTCCTGGTGTGAGTCGTTCGGGCTCCTCGTGGGGCCTCTTGGTGGCCTCTTGGAGCCTCTTGGGGCCTCTTGGGGGCCTCTTGGGGGCCTCTTGGGGGCCTCTTGGGGGGGGGCCTCGGGGGCCTCTTGGGGGCCTCTTGGGGGCCTCTTGGGGGCCTCTTGGGGCCTCTTTGGGGCCTCTTGGGGGCCTCTTGGAGGCCTCTTGGGAGGCTCCTGGGGGCCTCTTGGGGCCAACTTGGGGCCTCTTGCGACCTCCTCTGAAGCGCAAAGGAGCGCTGAAAAGGAGAAATTGAACCCAAAACCTTCGTACAAACAATGATTTTGCTATGAGGGAAGATGAGCGCGGCCCCCTCAGGACGCCAAAATGGGGCCAAAACCGTAGTAACATCAATGATTTTGGCTTCGAAGAAGAGCAGAGGGGCCAAACTCCCTCCCCCCGTCGGGGCCAGAATCCTCGTGAGGGTCGTCGTTTTTCGACCCTCCCAGGAGTCGAAATTAACCCCCCTGACGACCCGCCGGGGGTCCTCTCCAGGTCCAGGGGGAGGGGGTAGGGGGAGGGGTAAACCCCTCCCCGAAGGGGAAGAAGGGGGTTGAGAACAGAGAGAGCTCGCTAAACCACTCACGCCCAAAGGGCTGGTGGGATTCCCCCTCGCGCCTGTCCCCCTGACGCCCGTTACCTTCACCCCCTGCTGCCTCCCAACTTTCCTCTCCCAAGGAGGAGGAGGAAGACTAGGGGGAGGAGGGGGAGGAGGACGAGGACGAGGAGGAGGAGGAGGAGGAGGAGGAGGAGGAGGAGGAGGAGGAGGAGGAGAAGAGGAAAAGGAGGAGGAGGAGGAGGAGGTCATCATATCTCCCGTACTCCCGCCACTCGGCGGAGTCGGGTTGGCATTAAGAACGCTGTGGGCACTTGCCTGAGGGCCGATTGCTGGCTAAGTCAGTTCGCCTTCATTAGATCGCCCCGCGAAGCGGACGTAAGCACAGTAAAGTCCCATCGCATCCCCTCTCACCTCCCGCCTCTTCGCAATCGCACACCATGAGTACTGCTCTCGTATCTTGTACCCAGAATTGTTCCACGTTGTCTTTCGAGATTCTGGGCTTCTCGAGCACATTCTCGGCCTTGCAGAGGCGGTAATCCCCCTGCCACGCTGGCCACACTTCAGGACCAGCGTTTTGCCTCCTTCGTTCAGCGTAGCGCTCCTGCCCACGCGTCGGCCACACAGGTTCCGATTCTTGCCTCGTTGTTGCCGCCCCCTCCTCTTCCCTCCACCTTTCCCGGTCCTCCTAATTGTCCCGCTTCCTCTTGCTTCTGCTCATGTTGCTTCTCCTCCTCCTTCTCCTCCTCCTCCTCCTCCTTCTCCGCCTCCTCCTCCTCCTCCTCCTCCTCCTCCTCCTCTCCCTTCCTCGTCATCCTCCATTTCCTCCTGCTCATTCACACGCTTATCCGCCACAACATTCTCCAATGTACACATCCCTCTTTTTTCGATTGTGCATCACGCGATGGGGTGTAATTTTGGAGGTCAAGGCCCTGTAAGACACCCCAGTCGGCGAAAAGAAAAGACATCAGCGCAATGGGAGGGGATGGCAGGGGTAGGATGTCATCAAATGGCGCGAGCGGGCCTAGCTTGCCTCTACCCGCTCCCCCACTTTCCCTCCTTCAGCCGCCCCGCCTCGCCCTCCCGAAGAGAAATTGTGCTAGATCCCTGTGACGGGAGGTGAGCTGTCCCGTAGTCCTCCAAAAGTTGGAGGTCCCAGCAGCCCGACCCGACGCCTTCCATCCCTGCAATCAACTCGCGCTCTATATATGTATATATATATATATATATATATACAAGACTGCATTGGCGCTGCGCGCCATGCACCTTGGTCCTTCGAGTTCCGCACGCAAGCGGAATGCGTGCGTGCGTACATGCGCGCATGCATGTATACACGCGCACGCGCATGCACGTTCCGTGTATATATATATATATATATATGTTTAGGTGTTTACAGTATACTTACATTGTTGTATGTGTGTATACAGCGTACATACGTACATCTAAATTTATGTGCGTAAGGGTATGAACATGCATATGCAACTCGTACGTGCTTTGTCGGTGCACGCCGGAGCAATGACTGGGTCACAATGTGGAATGTCATGGGAGCAAAATCAATGCATGTTGGCATTCTGAAACATCGTGGGGGTGTTTTCGGGGCCCTCGTGGGCCGTTTTGGCGCCTTCAAAAGCCGTCCAGGGGCCTTCTTGGGCCGTCTTGGGGAGCTTGGGCCCGCTGGAGCCCCCTTTGGACCCATCTTGGGCACTTCCGGGGACCTCCCATGGCCCTTTTGGGTCTGTGCTGGGAGCCCTTGGGGGGCCTCTTGGGTGCATTATGGGCTGTCTTGGGGCTCTCGTGGGCGATCGTGGGGCCTGGCTCGGCCGTCTTGAAGCTTTCTTGGGGGCCTCTTGGGGCGTCTTGAGGCGATCTCGGGGGCTTTGAAGCAGTCTTGAAAGCTGATGAAATCCGAAAGGCGAATATGCTAAAATTGTAAAAAATTGTACGAAGGGAATGGGACGATTTTTGTGTTTTGAAGGCCCCTTGGAAGCTTTTTGGGGTTCCTCGGGGGTCTTTTGGGCCGTCCTGAAGCAATTGGAGTCCCGCTTGGAGCGCTCTTGTGCTGTCTGGGGCCTCCCTTGAGCCTTTCTGATGACCCCTCTGATCGCTCTGGGTCTGCTGGCAAGGCGTATGTGGAGACCCAGAAAGCCGGGTGACCTTTTCCAAGGACGTCCAAGGGAGCCCGAGAATCCCAGATCTCGGGGATCCAGTTTTTTTTGGGGGGGGTGACGGTTTTATCCCCCCCCCGGGCTTGTAAAAATATAGGAAGAGGAATATCTCTCTCTCTCTCTTTGTCTCTGCCTCTCTTCATCCTTGTCTGTCTGTCTGTCTGTCTGTCTGTCCCTATCTCTATCTCTATCTCTATCTCTATCTTTTTTTTTTGTTCTCTCGCTCTCTCTCGCTCTCTCTCTTTCTCTTCCTCTCTCTCTCTCTCTCCCCCCCCAGCTTGGCCGCGAATCCCTCTGTGGATGAGCTGGCCACGAGGAGCACCTCCCCGCGCCCTTTCTCAGCCTGGGTAGGCTGAAATTTGGGCGCCTCCCTCCCAAAGACAAGTCGCTCCTTTTCTCCATCTAGCCGCACCGCGCGCCCTCTGTTCTGACGCTCGCATGGACACCACTTTCGTTGGAATGTATGCCACGTGCTCTTAATGGTACTGGCCTGGAGGCCTGCGGAACTTTCACGGCGTCAAGGTACATCGCAGTGGATGTTTCGCAGCATGCTCGACATCGAAGTTTTGGGTGGCATACTGGATGCGGCAGCGCAGGCTGAGGACTGTTACTGGTCAAGTGCCACGGCGCTGCTTCCAGGGTCTCAAAAACTGAAGGCGCGGTATTCGGCGTGGCGACTTCTGCGTTGTTCGTCGCCGGTTTCTGGTACCTCTGTGACCAAACGTTTCTGGGGTCAAGTCGTTTTGAGCATCGATGGATTTTGAGCGTCCTTCGCCTTCGTCGACGACCCGACGAAAGAGGCTTGATCGGATGCAATCGGCGTAGTGCCTACGTGATCCAACCCTGTACCCGTAGTACACTTTTCGATCATCCACATCGCAGCATTATGGTCGAACTGTTCTCAAAGGCGATGCGTGAGAACCACCTGCCGAACGAGGCCTTCTGCGCGAATTCAATATGCGCGGTCTGCCCTCGAGGGCGCATTCGTTGATGCCTTCGGCAACGCGTGGCGGACAAGACGAGGCTGCTGGCCGACTCAATGGGATCGGACAACAATTGTTGCCTCTCTTCGCAAACGCGGCCTGCGAGGAAAAAACTTCCGTTTATGCAAGCTAAGTTTCGGCCCCAGCGCGAACCTTCCGAGCCGTCGGCAAAGCCGACCTGAAGAGCTTCCCTCTGAGCCATGCTGCTGACGGCCAAGAAGCCAATTACGAATGGGGGGCGGCATCGTAGCCAGTTTGTGTTCTAGTTGGATTGTCAACCCTTGCAAGGGTCTCGATGGGTTTGTGCGCATTGGCGGATGGTTATCTGGAACCTCTCTTTCGACGCCCGCGTTACTATGGGCCAGCAAGTTTCATGGCGCCCCTCGCCAAGTGCTTCCGGGAAGTTCAGGACCGACGTGGATTTCGCGCGTGCGCGGGATCGCCCGGGACTTGGACGCTGGCCAGGTACTCGAGGAAAAGGGGGTTCACGAAATCAAGGGAAAGAAGCGGAGGAGAGAATCAGGAGGAGGCGCGCGCAATGTCGTCGCCAGATCCACCTGCCGGGTTATCCAGGATATCTAGCCGCATCGGTGGATTTGTGGAGCTCGCCGACGCTGGGGCTGGTCGAGCGTCCCAGATACTTGTGAGGCATGTGGAAGCGCTGATGAAATGGAACCAGTTACCCAGGTTACTATGTGCGTATTTCACCGCGAAAATGGCGAAGCACGGGCTTGGGGGGATGTATCAGGGAGCGAGCTTGGCCCAGAGCTCACGTTGAAAGCTCGGGGGAGGAAGCGAATCAATTTAGGAAACATGAGGTCCACGAAAAGGTGATGGAGGAGTGCTGGACTGTTGCCGGTAAAGCACCGCTAGGTGCGAGATGGATATACGTAACTCAGGGGGACCAGGCCCATCCTGAGTGCCTATCCCGGTTGGTGGCACAGCAAGTTGAGTGCATTTCCACGGAAAACAACGCGTCTGCAGCCGCCGCTCCATTATAAACTCAATTACTATTGTTCTTCATGGCCGCTACCGAGAGGATGGGATATAACCGCAGGCAGCGTGGAAAGGGACTCAAACTTGGATTTATTGATGTCAGACTGGCATACTTTTACGCCAAAGCCAAGAAACACATCTTCATCAGGTTGCCCGAAGAAAGACCGATCATGTGGCGCGCTGCCAGCAACTGGGGAGTCTGTAAACGCAAGGCAAAGTGAGTCTGGCCAACAGTGAGTGCATGGGGGTGGTTTGAGTGCACGGGGATGATTTTGTTCCATTGGGCAGCGAAGCTGACCATGAGTGGTTCGACGGAGAAATGGATGGACGATTGACGTTTAACTCAGTGGTGGACTCGGACCAGGTCCATTCTGTTTCAAGCCAATCAGGTTTTGAAGCCGCATTGTAGAGTGACGCCGGGGCGAATTATGGTATGGGGCAGACCAGATACGTCCAGAAATTTATAATCTTTGATTGTTATATCTCTCAATTCGGTGTGGCCCGCTTGTTGGTCTGTAACCATCTCGCTCAAGTCTTGAGGGCCGATGTGGCAGCAGCGTCTCCAGGACCTCGCTGCCAACGGTCTGTTAGCGTACCTCGGTCGGTGCCCAGCGGCTCCGACCTGCCCGACAGCCCCTCCTTGCCCGACGGCGCCATCGCTCACGTGTGGGTCCTGCCCGTCGTGCCCCGCCTGCCCGTCCTGCGTCTGCGGGCCGCAGGTGGCGTCGGCAGAGAGCCCGGCGCGGTGCCCGGCGGAGGCAGCTGCGCCTGACTGCCCGTGGAGCTACTGGCTGGCCGTGGGCGCGGTCATCGGCGTGTTGGTGGGCTGGGCCATCATCCTCTTCATCTTCGTGCTGCGTGGACTGACCACGCGGGCTCTGAGGGCCCTTTCGCGATCTCCTTCGACACCTTCACCTGCATCGGCGCCGATAGCACCAGCTACGCCTAAGAGTATTCGAGATGGATACGTTGGACATTCCAGAACCCCAGGTTCTGGTGCACTATCCAGATGACGCAGGAGGGCTTTTCTGGCACCAATGCATTTTGGTCAAGAAGATTGCACCAGGGATTTGGATCGCTGCCACTCCCGACTTAGAGCTCGTTCGTCACAATCTTTTGGAGCAGCGACATAAGATTTTGGATCGCAATGCTATGTTCCCCGCCAACATTCGTGCACAGGTCTACGGCTTCGACCCTGTGCCGCGGGCAGACATCCTGGCTCTGAAGAGGCAGGCGGCGGTGCAGGCGGCAATTTTGGGAGACGGCGACGCCGCTTCGCGCAGACCCTGACCGACCAGGAGGTGGAGCAGGCCACGCTGGGGCAGACCAAAGGGGTCGCTCTAGTCAACGGCCTGGAGGTCTTCGTGGAGAAGATCGAGGCAGATCGTGCGAAGATCGAGAAGTGGAAGGCCGAACGTGAAGCTGGAGCGGGTGACCTACGCGTGCTGGGTGATCACCGTGACGCCTCAGGTCGTCGCCATCTCACTCTCACCGAGGGCGTCTCCATGATGAGGGAGACCTCGTTTGAGGACTGGAACATGCCTGGGCCTCGGATCGCAAAGGAGTGGCTTGTCTCTGTTCGGGATGGGCCGGGCGACCTGACCACCTACCATAGCCAGTGGATGCGACGCTCGGGCGTCGGAGAGGGCACAGCTGTGGCCCACATCCACTTCGTGATGTGCGAGATCGTGCGGCTGGCCATCCAAGTCGATCAGTTGGACGTCTCCAACCTGATGAGCTTCGAGCTCGCCATGCGCAGGATCTGTCAGGACGAGACGGCCGTTTCGCGCAACCCTCGTCACCCAGACTATGGCGGGCTCGACATTGTGCTGCACGCCCCGGTCTCGGAGCAGGGCCAGGCCAGCACGGACAGATTCACAGAGTGGGTCACTGCCCGCTTGAAGGAGCGCGCCTCGATCTACAAGCAGACTCGCCTCTGGAACGAGGAGCAGCGCGCCCTGCAGGCTGCCCGCACCTCGGTGGACCCCAGCAAGGGAGGCGGACGCGGCCGCGGGCGTGGCCGCGGCAAGGGCGGCAGGGACGACCAGGAGCAGGGAGGCTCGGGGTGACCGAGGCTTTCCGGGCCGAGTCTGAACCCCGAGCTCGGCCCGGCGCGGTCACTCAAGATCGGGGACAACCTACCAGGTGGAGGCCTTCAAGACGGAGGCATGGGGATCCCTTCCCCTTGCCGCATTTTTCGCCATCCCAGCTCAGCAAGATGGGTGGCAACTTCGAGCAGCAACAGCGGGCTTCTTTGGCACGGGCTTCGCTCAACCACCTCGCTGCTGCTCAGCCGAATGCAGATTCAGTTTTTCAGGCTCGTCAGCCAGCTCGGGCCCCTACTGCCGTTCAGGACTGGGTTCTGGACAGCATCGTGGAGCGCGTCGACGCCGTGGGGCCCCCCCCGCCAGGCCTCGCAGCCGAGGGGGCCGCGCGCGAGCTGCTGGCCTCGAAGGACCTGTATAGCCAGGAGCCGAAGCACCTAGCGCCGTTCGACCTGACAAAGCTCAAGGTTGCCAAGGGACGCGCCCGGCCGCGGTCTGTGGCCAACTTCCTTCCTCCGTTGGCTGGGGAGATGATTCGGAACCCAGCGCAGTACATAGAGAAGGATGAGGGGGAGATGGAGTTCACACGTCAGACAACTGATCCCATCAAGCCTTACTGGGATCCAGTGCTTCGTTCTAGCCGACTGGAGCGATGGAGGCTGTTCCGAGTGCTGTACGAGCTGGGGCTCATCACGTTCAGGCCCCGTCTTCGCGCTCGAGCCGCCTTATTTTTTGTGAAGAAAAAGAAACCTGGCGAGATCAGAATGATAGTTGATGCGAGGCAGGCCAACGCCTGCCACCGTGCGCCTCCGACCACTCGCCTTGGGTCGGCAGGCGCCCTCGCGGACCTCGACTTCTCCGACGGGAACGGCTCCTTCGGCGGCGTCGGCAGCGTCGTCGGCTGGGGCCCCCACGGGAACGAGGCGGACGTCGAGGATTGCTTCTACAACTTTTCAATAGACGGGCTGGCTGAGTGGTTCGGCTTCGACGACCCGCTGCCCGTTGCCACTATCAGGGACACCTACGGCATCAACATTGGCTCTTTTTGGGACCCAGATCTCCACAGGATGGTTGCGGCGACTGACGACGTCGTGCTGTACCCGTGCATGCGCGCCATGTGCATGGGCTGGTCTTGGGCCTTGTTTTTCGCTCAGGAAGCCGTATCAGCTATGACCTCCCGCGCCCTTCGGCCTTGCTCGACTCTGGAGCCGGCCATGGTGAGGGAGCACCTCCCAGCGCCTGACCTCAACGAGTCCGGGGTCATGGGCAGCGTCTACGTTGATAACATCACCGTCTTGGGTAAGACTGCCGCTGTGGCCCGTGAGGCCAGTGCCGCCCTTCGCGACGAGGCGGAGCGCTGTGGTCTCCCCATCACTTGGTCGTACCCCGACGTCGTCACTCATCTGGAGACGGTGGGGATCGAGCTTGATCTGAAGCAAGGGCGCCTGCGCAACAAGGCCTCCCGAGTCTGGAGGTTCGACCTGGCCACCCGGGCGCTGCTGGCCCGGGGTAAGATGCGAGGTGAACACATGGAGGTCTGGTTGGGCCACGCGGTCTCCCTGCTGATGCTGGCCCGGCCAGGCTACGCTGCGCTGTCCGCCGTCTACCGGTTTGCGGAGGGGGCATGCGGACTGTCTTGCCTAGCAAGGTCAGACAGGAGATGCGCATCGTGGTCGGGCTGGTCTGGCTCGCGGAGGTCGACCTGGCAGCGCCCTACGTGCCGCACGTGTACGCCAGCGACTCCGCCGACCACGGGTACGGGCTCATGTACAAGAGGGCCTCGCTCGGCGACCTGCGCTCGGCCTTCCGCTGGAAGGAGAAGTGGAGCTTCAAGCAGCACCTCCGAGGGCCGCGCGTGGGTATTGTGCCTCCGACTGATGTTGCCGACATGGGGGGGTACGGCGACGTGATCGACCGGTCCCTGGACTATGAGATCGAGCCTCGCTGTCAGTCTTCCTCGCCTTGCAGCGGCACGGCGCCCGCGACCGCCTTCGGCCAGTGGCTGCAGCGCCGGGCGGAGGAGGGCTCGCCGTCGGCGGGGGCCCACCAGCCGCGCCGCCGCCGCCGGGAGTGCCACGCCTCTTGGCGTGAGGGCGATCTGGAGGTCCCGCCACCGCAGACCGGACCTCTTGCGCCACCACTCCCGGCCGCGTGGTGCGAACCCGAGGGCTTCCGCCTGGTGGCGGCGAAGAGGTGGCGCTGGCCGAGTGAGCACATCAATGTGAAGGAGACCCGAGCTGCTGTGATGGGCCTTCGCCATGCCTGTCGCGTCCGCAGCAACTGCGGACGCCGCTTGGTTTCTATCGTCGACTCCATGGTTTGTGTTGGCTGCCTGGAGAAAGGGCGGTCTAGCCGCTCAGCAGCTCTGAACGCACAGTGCCGGCGCGCGGCGGCCTACACGATAGGGTGTAGGGTGCGATGGAGACTTCGATATGTCAACACGAAGTACAATGTGGCCGACGCCCCTTCGCGTCGGTTCGAACACTCCTCTCCCGACAAAGGTCATCATAAACATATTCACGGCGAAGCCCCAACAATTTCTACTTCTCCCTCTCCCTTGAGCACTGTGGTGGGAGTGGGCTCGCTGCCTCCTGGTCTCGGCCTCGCAGGGCATCCGTCCGCCGGCGCCGAGTGTGACATGCAGCCAGAAGTGCAGGTTTGCGGGCCGCACGCTGAAACAATTCATCGGCCTTCTTGCCCGTCTTCCACCACAACACCTTCGGTGACCAGCCAAGCCGCCGCACCCCCTCTGCGTCTTGGGCATGCTCAACTTCTGAGGCGGGCCCAGCGAGGCCAGGGCTTCCTGGAATTGTTCTCGGGCGAGGGCGGGCTTTCGGAGGCCTTCAAGGAGCTCGGCCTGAAGACCTTCCCCGGGATGGACATCAAGGACGGGGCCCACTATGACCTCCTGGATCCTGTGGTGCAGCTCGTTATCTTACAGGGTATTCGAAAAGGGCTGTTCTGGTATGTACATATGGGTACCCCCTGCTGTATTTGGTCTAGGGCTCGCCACGGTATGGTCAACCTCGAGAGAGCCCGACACAAGGAACGTATTGGTGTGGCTCTGGCTTTATTCAGCTGTCGTGTTGCCTACGAGTGTTCAAGACATGGAGTTTTCTGGAGTATTGAGAACCCGAGGACCTCGAGGCTCTGGGATTTTGACCCCGTTCGAGAGCTCACCAACCTTCCCGACGTGATTCAGATTTTTCTCGTGCACTGCAGCTATGGGGCCCCGCACTTGAAGCGGACTAAGATCCTCACGAATTTCTTCGCCCTGTCGTCCCTGAGCTCAGAGTGCTCCAGAGACCACACGCACGTGGAGCTCAGGGGTTTCGAGACAGTTACGTTGCCATCTGGGGCTCGGGTCAGACGCAATCGGACCGCTGGAGCGGGAGCCTACCCCCGCAGGCTCTGCAAGGCATGGGCTCAGGCGGCCGCTCTGACCGCGCCTGCCGGCGCCCGCGGCGACCTGGACGCTGCTGACGGCGGAGACCTGGAGGCGCAGCTCCGGGATGCTTCGCAGCGGCCAGCTTCGCGTGCCCGAGAGCGCTTCAGGCCGGCTCGGCAGCGGCTCCAAGCGGAGCCTGACCTCGGGCTCTCTGCAGCCGCCGACCCAGACGCCCTCGAGAGCCGGTACGACCACCTCCGGCCGTTCATCGTCTTTGGCCAGGACTCCAACCTCGAGGCGGCTCGAAAGCAGGCGGCCCGCGCCAAGAGAGGCCCAGAAGGTCGCTGGCCGTCGCTGCCGCGCCTCTAAGTTCGTGGAGTCCATCAAGGGTCACACGTTCAACTTCGGGCCCCGCGCTCCTGTCCCTGCTGATGGAGGCGTGGCCCGTTTTGGTTCCGTCACCGCGATCTCCTTGGAACGGTATGGCACCGCAGTTCGTGACTTCTTCGACTGGGCCACGCGAGGTGATGAGGACCTGAGGGAGGCACCCGAGTCCAAGATTGACCAATTAATGTGCAAGTATTTTGACAAGCTGATGAGTGATGCAAGACACCCAGCTGAGGGCCGCTATGCTCTCTGGGGCTACCTGACTTTCTTCCCGCGCTCTGACATCGCCAAGTCTGCCCGCCTCATGATGGCCAGGGAGGCTATGAAAGGCTGGACCCGAAGATTTCCTGGCTCGTCTCGCCACCCATGGCCGCTGTCAGTTTTCTTCCTGTTCATGACAGTCTTTATGAAAGACAAGCACATCGGAGCCGCAGTAGCCTTAGCCATCCAGCTGGACGCCTACCTGAGACCCTCAGAGATCTGCGACCTACGGTGGTGCTCGGTGGTTCGCCCTTCGTCATCATCGTCGCGTCTGGCCCGAGGCCGCTGGGCCGTTGTTATCGGCAACTCAGACCTTGGTGAGACCACCAAGACAGGCGAGTGCGACGACACCGTGGTGCTCAACTCGCCGGGCCGAGACTGGGTCGCCTCGGTCCTCGAGATGTGGGCCCGGCGGCGCTCGTCGAGCTCGCGCCCAGAGGATCTGGTGTTCCCGAACCTGTCCTTGGCCAAATATGAGGCTCTTTTTAGACAGTACAGCCGGTCCGTCTTAGGTAAGACTGGCCACCTGACGCCGCACGTTGCACGCCACTCGGCGCCATCCCATGATGTTCTGACAGGCGCTCGCAGCCTGAGCATGGTGCAGAAGCGTGGCAGGTGGGCTCATCCCAAGTCTGTGAAACGATATGAGAAGAGCGGCCGCCTCTTGCTTCAGGCTGCTCGCCTCCCGCCAGAGCTCGCAAGACGAGCTGCAGCAGCGGAGGCCTCCATTTTTCAGTGTTTCCAAGAGGCCCTCCAGTAATCAATGTCGGTATGGGTGCAGTTGTGCTAAGGCCTTTGCATTTTCCTCAGCGTTTTTTTGCAATCGATATGCAAGCTTCGGAAGGAATGTTTTGCAGTGCTCGCCTGATGCATGTTGGAAAAACTATTATTCACGTCTGCTTCGCAGTGTCACTGGGCCAATGTAGAATGGACAGAGGTGTTTATAATCTTTGATTGTTATATCTCTCAATTCGGTGTGGCCCGCTTGTTGGTCTGTAACCATCTCGCTCAAGTCTCCCTCCCTGTTTCACCCTCCCTCGGGGTGCAGTTGTGCCAAGGCCTTTGCATTTTCCTCAGCGTTTTTTTATTTTTTTTGGCAATCGATATGCAAAGCTTCGGGGGGGGGGGGGGGGGGGGCCCCCCCCCCCCCCCCCCCCCGGGGGGGGGGGGGGTGGGGGGGGGGGGGGGGGGGGGGAAGGAATGTTTTGCAGTGCTCGCCTGATGCATGTTGGAAAAACTATTCACGTCTGCTTCGCAGTGTCACTGGGCCAATGTAGAATGGACAGAGGTGTATTCATAACAGAAGGGGGCCTGGACCAGTACACATTGAGATGCGATCTACCTGGGGGGGAGCAAACGTGAGAGGAGGAATATTCAGCCGCTTCCAATCCATGAAGTTAAGAAATTTCAAGCCTTGGTGGCCCGAGTCGGTTATCTTGTATGCGATCGTTCAGGAATTCAGTTTTCAATCAAGGAGTTTGCGCACTCTATGGCGGCTCCAACCCGAGAGGCATGGAAACGCTGGGGCCACATTGCGCAAGTGCTTCGAGAACCACGACAGGTGTTGGTATCAATACTTGTAGCAAGAATGTCCTAAGGAGTTAACCGTGTGGACTGACACCGGCTTTGCCAGATGCAAGAAGCACGTAACTCATCAATTGGAGGAACCGTTTTGTGGGGATCGCAGTTCATAGTTGGAAGTCGTGGAATTCGAATGGGAGTGTTGTGGCAACATCTTTTGTCAAGGATTCAAAAAACGCCCCTACCCTGGTTTACGAGGCGCTGTGCGATGAACCTCCTGCGGGCTGACAGGGCAAACCCTGCGTGTCCCGCGTGTCGCGTGGCTTACTGGCTCGTCTCTGGCTTTTGGGAGCTCGCAGGGGGTTTACCGACCGCGAACTTGTAATCCATTTTGTTTTGTTCTTGTGTTTTGTTTTTTACTGTTGATTTTTTGTTTATATCTTTTTTTTTCCACTCTCTCATCCTTCAATTCTGAAAGAGTAGCGTCTTGCGGTGTGGTGCCAGGTTGATCACTGGCGTTAGGATTGGAAACATGTCTCAAACACTTCAACGTTGCTTGCGGTATCGTGTCAAAGAGTGATGCTGATTCGGCCATTGCCGTCGCAAACGGGAAAGGATTAGGACAAGTCAGACACATCGAGGTTTCTCAGTTACGGTAGCAAGAGAATGTACGATGAGGAGACATCAAAGTAATCAAAGCCTGAACCCATGAGAACCTTGCATATGTCTTAACCGAAGATGCGATCCGGGACGCCAATCCATGCGCATGCAACATATTGTTGGCGGAAGACACGATCTGTTACCTGCTACATTTTGCTCGCTGAACGTGCGGTCAGGGTTTTAGTGTGTGCCATTTAGTCAGGGACTTGAGCTCAGGATTCGTTGAAATCTTGGTGCCCGTTTCTTCCTGCTCGTGAGTACGTTAAACATTCAACGCAATTCGGTGTTTTGCGACACCTCAAAATAGTGCACCACGTGTTGGGAGGCCTGGGCGCTTTACGCCCAAGCCATAGTCGCCTTCTGCTTGCGCTGGTGATATTTTCAGTGGCTTTAGTTTCAGGTCTTGAGTGACCAGGATGAAATCCGCAAGTCCAGGCTTCACTGCGTTGTGTACTTGGTTCGAAGGTTTCCGTTACCCAGTCGTCCTTGCCATGTCCATGTCGCCCTTACCAGCCGATGGGGGAGTTTTAGATCGTAGCGTTCCGACAGGGTAAGCAGGATTTGCTGGAGTGGCTGTATCATGTGTGTAGCAGCTGTGTCACGCCAGGGGAGGGCCACCCTTTGTTCACCGCTGTCTGTACCTATTTCCGCGACTGTTTGGCTCAAGTCTCATCCGCCTTCATGGAACAAAAAGACTCCTGCCATATGTCCAGGAGGAGGGAGTGGGGGGGGGGCGTGGTTGAGGAGGGTGATCATGAGGAGGAGGAGGCCGAGCAGGAGGATTGGGGAAGGAGGCGGAAATGGGAAGGGGGTCGGAAGAACAGGAATAGGGAGGAGGGAGAGTGTGGGAGTGCTCGCCGCGTGCCGACGCAGGACTTCACCATCGCGCTGCACCGGGACAGCCCCGACTGGTACTCCGCGGAGGGGCGGGGCGCGGAGGAGGAGGGCTGCCATGTCGTCTCGCACTGACATTGGAGAGGGTTGTTCCCTCCCGTTCTTGTCCACCCCGGCTGGCGGGGGTCAAACCCTGCGTGTCGAAGCGGATCAAGGGGGCGTCGACGTTCGGCGTTTCTTTGCTTTTCCTCGTCCTCGTCGCCGCCGTCGGCGTCGTCGACGTTGTCGCCGCCGTCGTCGCCGTCGACGTCCTCCTCTTCGTCCTCCTCTTCGTCCTCCTGGTCCTCCTCGTTATCCTCGTTTTTCTGGCCCTCCGCACGGAAGAGGACGATGGTCCTCGTGCCTTCGCCGCCCAATTCGACGTGGACTCGTCGGATTAGTTTGTTACTGCAGTATGATGCCGATGTCAACACATCCTCGTCTTCCTTGTCCTCCTCGTCGTCGTCGTCCTCCTCCTCATTTTTCTCGTGGTGGTGGGCCCCCGGGAGGACCAGGAGACCAGCGTGCTGATGTGTTGCGGAGAGAACGGCGAGGCGCGCCCGCCCATGGAGCGAGGAAAGCGAGCGGGGTTGGGGGAGAAACAAAACGTGACGCACGTGGGGGAAGTGAGGGAGTAGCAAATAGGGGGGAGGACGGGGAGGCGGAGGAGGAGGAGGAGGAGGAGGAGGAGGAGGAGGAGGTGGAGGAGACCGAGGAGGATGCAGAAGAGGAGGAGGAGGAAGAGGAGGAGGATGATGATGAGGAGGAAGAGGAGGAGGAGGAGGAGGAGGGGGAGGAGGGGGAGGAGGAGGAAGAGGAGGATGAGGACGAGGATAACAAGGAGGAAGAGGAGGATGAGGAAGAAGAGGAGGGGGAGGAGGAGGAGGAGGAGGAGGAGGAGGAGGAGGAGGAGGAGGAGTACTGATAATAGTATGACAGTAGAACTAATGCCACTACGAAGAATAATAAGAAAACGAACACTAAGAATAAGCACACTAATACGAACATTGAGAAGACGACTCATACTTACACGAATGCTGCTAATACTAATCCTATTACTAATACCTATATATACACACAAAGGAATATTACGCAAAGCAACGTACTGATAATAATAACGACAAGTTTATTTCGGCTAACATTAATACCACGACTATTACTACTCGTAATGCTACTATTAAGACGAATGCTAATACGACTACGCTACGGAGAAGACGCACCCTACTACTAACCACTAAGGCTATAGTATTTACTAGTACGAAGAGTAAAAGGAATGATACGACTAAGCAGAGCACGAGTACGACGACTACGAAAAAACAAATAGAAACCGAGCAAAACCAATGACACGACGAGGAGTAATACGATGACGAATGCTGAACCCAGTGTGAATACTAGCAAGGCGACTCGTAAGACTAGTGATGCTAATATGGGTACTACTGAAATGAACACCAATCGTACTGATACTGATCATATTCATATTGCTAACGCTACTACTACGGACCGGACACCTGATATTAACAATACTGGCACTATACATTCTAATTTTGCTATAGCTCATGATACTACGAGCACGACTAGTGCTATTACTAATATTACCACTGGTACTGCTACTACTCATCTTAATAGCAATACAACTGCTAACACTAACATTTATGCTGCTACGACGACTAATACACATACGAACATTAGTACTACGACTACTACTACTGATGTATGCCTCAGCATACTATGACGACGACGACGAACACGACTATTAGTAAGACTGCTACACATGATACGGTTACTAGTAATATGCAGAGGAGGAGGAGGAGGAGGAGGAGGACGACGACGACGACGAAGCGGCGGAAGAGGAGGACGAGGAGGAGGTGGAGGGGGAGGAGGAAGACGAGGAGGCGGAAGAGGAGGACGAGGAGGAGGAGGATGAGGGAGACGACGAGGAGGAGGAGGAGGAAGAGGAGGAGGAGGCTGACGAGGAAGAGGCGGAGAAGACAGCGGCGGAGGCGGAGGCGGAGGATGAGGGGGAGGAGGATGAGGAGGAGGAGGAGGATGATGAGGATGAGGAGGAGGAGGAGGAGTAGTAGGAGGAGGAGGAGGAGGATCATGATTAGGAGGAGGAGTATGAGGAAGAGGAAACGGAAGAGAACGGATGATGATGAGGAGGAGGAGTAGGAGGAGTAGGAAGAGGTGGAAGAGAAGGAGGTGGAAGAGGAGGAGGAGGAGGAGGAGGACGAGGATGACGAGGAGGATGACGATGAGGAGGAGGATACGAATACTCTTAATATTCAGAATACTAACAGTCCTTTGTATACTAGTAAGCATAACGCTACTACTACTAATGCGAGTAAGACGGCGAATGCGACGACGACTAATCATACTAATAACCAAACGGGGGAGGAGGAGGAGGAGGAGGAGGAGAAGGAGGAGAAAGAGGAGGCGGACGATGAGGACGAGGCGGCAGAGGAGGACGCAGAGGACGAGGAGGACGAGGAGGAGGAGGATGATGAGGAAGAGGAGGAGGAGGATGACGATCAGGAGGAGGTGGAGGAGAAGAATGAGCGGAGTGGGAGGGGGAGGAGAGGAGGAGGAGGAGGACGAGGAGGAGTAGGAGGAAGTGGAGAAGAAAGAGGAGGAAGAGGAGGATGAGGAAGAGGAGGAGGAGGAAGAGGAGGAGTATGAGGATGAGGATGAGGATGAGGAGGAGGAGGACAAGGAGGACGACGTGGACGAGAAGAAGGAGGAGGAAGAAGAGGAGGAGGAGGCGGAGGAGGAGGAGGAGGAGGAGGAGGAAGAAGAGGATGAGGAGAAGGAGGAGGTGGACGACGACGACGAGGAGGAGGAGGAGGAGGAGGAGGAGGAGGAGGAGGAGGCGGAGGAGACCGAGGAGGATGAAGCCGAGGAGGACAAGGAGGACGATGAGGACGAGGAAACAGCAGGAGGAGGAGGAGGAGGAGGAAATGGAGGAGCAACCGGATGAGGAGGAGGAGGAGGAGGAGAAGGAGGAGGAGGGGGAGGGGGAGGACGAGGAGGATGATGATGATGATGATGATGATGATGATGATGATGAGGAGGAGGAGGAGGAGGAGGCAGAGGAGGAAATGGAGGACATTGATGTAATGGGGGAGGAGGAGGAGGATGATGATGATGATGAGGAGGAGGAGGAGGAGGAGGAGGAGGAGGAGGAGGAAGAGGAAGACGACGATCAGGATGAGGCGGGGAAGGAGCAGGAGTAGTATTCGCGGCTACGCGCCAGGAGGAGGAGGAGAAGAAGGAGTAGGAGGAATAACAGATCATAGTGAGTAAGACTGCAACATATGCCCCCCAGCGATAGCACCAGTTGAAAGAAGGAGCGCCCTCCATCCATGTATTGTTCTGGCGATGAAGTTGCAGTGAGTGTTCAGCGATCGCCTTGTTTCGATAAGGGGACTGCGCTCCACCCGCCTAGCTGTGTTACGAGTTAGGATTTCTGGTCACGTCAACCCAAGGATGTCGCAAGCGAGAGCCCCATTAATCAAATGGAACCGCCTTCCATCTGGCTAGTTGTTGGTAGATTTTATGGCGAAGCTGCGCGGAGTTGAGGCGAGAGTTTCATTTTAAATGGCATCCTCACTCCATCTACGCAATTGTTGCCAGCTTTCTAATCTGATGTGCGCGGCGCTGAGTCGAGAGCCACGTTTTGGAAACCGCCCGCTGTTTTGAAATCGTTTTCGACTGAAGTGGTTAATCTTCCGGATCAGGAAGCCTCAGGCGAAACGCCTGGTCCGCCATATCGACGTGTTTGGCGGTGAAGGCACGCTCGGGCCCTCAATGTGTGTCTCTCTCCCTTGCTCGCCTCTGCGGCTCCCTCGACCGTCGCCGCTGGCCTGTTGGGCCTCGGGGCGGTCTACACGCAGCTGTCCTGTTCCCGGTCCGCATAGCAGTCCTCAGTGTTACATTCTCGTATCACCTGCTCTGGTGACGCGTGACCTCCTCCTCTTCAGTTCTCTCGTGGGGCTGGCAGCTGGCATCTGGCCGCAACTGTCTGGCCCTCTCGAGGGAGGCGCGCGCCGCACGACAGAAGCAGCGGCGACCTCCCTGTTTCTGCTACTCACGTAAACGCTCTTGGGCAGGGTCTCCCTGCTGGCGGGGCACCCAGCTCCTGGAGTCTGCCAGGCACTGGGGCGCCCCTGGCACGCCCCCAGGATTGGCAATGATCCGGGAGGCCTGCTTCCACGCAAATCACCCACGGGTCAGCGAAGTGTTTCAAGCTTACGGTGCTTGAGACAGAGACCACCAACGGCCTTGACCTTGACCTTGACCTCCCTCATGCCCAAGCTGTTCATTCCCCCCCCCCCGCCGCCTGTGTGAGGAGAAGCGGCTGGAAGCAGGAAGGTGAGGAGAATCAGTAGGGGGAGGGGCAAGCGAGGGGGTCAGTCTGTGCAGCGTGCACGCGCTGCAGACAATGAGGCACGGCACTGGCGCGGTATGGTGAGGGAGAGGGCGGGCCAGAAGAAAGGAATCGAAGCGTTGCAGAGTTGGAGGCGGATGTGGGAATTCCCTCTTCTCTCTCCTCTTTCCTCTCTCCTCCCTCTCTTCCCTTTCCTTCGTCTTTCCTCCATCCTTACACTCCTCTTCATACTCTGCTCGCCCTCCCCCTTCATGCTCCGCCTCTTCCGCCTACCGCAATCCTCGTCGTCGTGCTCCTCTTCTGTGGACTGAGAGCGCGTCTGAACATATAGCTCATATAGCTCCTCGGCTTTGCTGCTTTGCGCACACGCCTCCGTCCTCGTGGTGTCGCTTTCGCGCGTTGCGTGCACGCATCGTATAGGTACAGTGGCCACCCGGTATCGCAGCAGGCATGAGCGGCACATGCCCGCAGCTCGAAGTATGCCCAGAACTGTGTGCCCCGGTGCCGACCAGAAGCCGCCCCTCTGCTCGGCGGCGCGCCGAGGGGGGAATGTGGGAGGGGGGCAGGCCTTCTCAGCAGGCCCTGGGGCTGCGGCGAAGGCTCAGAGAGGCTCAGAGGGCAGAGGCTCTGCCTCGGCCCCTGGCGCCGCCGATCTCCCTCCGGAGGGCTGCGGCAGACCAGCGGGGGGTGGGGCCCGCCGGAGGGCCAGTGCGGCCGCAGCCTGCAGCAGCAGCAGAACGCGTGGCTGCCGGTGCGGCTGCCCAAGCGGAGCAAGGCGTGTCCCCAGGGGGGGGGTGGGCAGCTGGCAGGGGAGGGGGGGTGGAGAGAGTGGATGCCTGGGGTTGGGGGGAGGGGGAACTGAGGATCCCCTGAAGAGCCCATGATGATCCCCTGAGGGTCCCCTGAAGAGCCTCTGAGGAGCACCTGAACAGCTTCTGCGGAGCCTATCGGGAGCCTGTGAGGAGCCAATGAGGAGCTCCTGAAGAGCCTCGGAAGAGCATCCGAAGACCATCCAGAGAGCTTCTAGGGAGACTCTGACGAGCCTCTGCAGAGCTTTTGAGGAGCTTCCGAAGAGCCTCGGTGTAGCCTCTGGGGAGCCTCTACGGAAGTTCTGAGGAGTTTCTGAGAAATCTCAGAGGAGCCTCCGAGAAGCTTTTGAAGAGCCTCTGAGTAGCCTCAGGAGAGCCTTTGATGTCTGATGAGCCTCCGAGGATCCTCGGATGAGCTTCTGAAGAGCCTCTGAGGAGCCTCTGGGGAGCCTCTGAAGATCTTGGAACCCATCGGGGGTCTGCGGCCTCCTCAGGAATTTTGAAGATCCCTGGAGAGTCCTAAGGAATCCTTCAGGAGTCTTTCGGTACCCTGGGGGATTCCGAGGGAATTCCGAGGAATCCTGAGGAATGCTGGCGAAATCCAGAAGGAATATTAGAAATTACTACGGAATCAGAGGAATCCTGAAGAATCTTGAGGGAACGTGTGGAATCTGAAGGATCGTCAGGCGTCCTCGGGGGAACTATGAGGGATCCTGAGGGACCCTAGAAATTCAGCGGGATCCCAAGGGAATCTGCAGAGTCCTAGTAGGATTCTGGTGACTTTCGCGGGATCCTGGGAAAACCAAAAGGAAATCAGAAGAGTCCAGAGGCATCCTGAGGAATTCTCAAGGAACCCGCGGGATTCTGAATCATCCGTGATGATTCTGTGGGGAGTGCTGCGGATGCCAGAGGAAACCTTGAGGATTCCCGAGGGGGCTTGGTTCCACCGTAACTTCTGTGCGATAGTTTGAGTAGGACTTGAACCAGCGCAGTGTAACGGAGTACGGCGGTTTTACGAGTAGGAATTCTCAGTTCTGAACGACTCCTTCGTGCGGGGAGGAACACTTCGTTGTTTGTATTGTTTGATGTATGTACTGTATTGTATGTGTACTGTATATGTATTGCATTCGTGTTATATGGAAGGATATTGTCATGGTTTTGCGTCAGCATTTGTTTGGTACTGCATATGTGTTGTATCGTGTTTGTTTTGTCGGTGTATGTGCAGAACCCGACTCGATTCCGAACCCGATATTTTTGCCCTTTGCATTTTGATTTTGCACTGCTCGCAAGTAGCGGTTAACCCTAGTAGCAGACCCCCACGAATCAATATTATTGTAAGTCGTAGTATTCTCTCAAGGGTTTCGCACTCTGCCGCCGCCCCACGTCGGATTGCTTGCGTGGCCACGCTTTGTTGGTATGTTGGTTGGTTTTCTTATCGGTTGATTGGCGGGCAACTCGGCGGATTGGCCTGTTGTTTGAATTGTATGTGGCAATTGACATGGGCTGTTTGCTGGCTGTTTGGTTGCGTGCGCCTGTGGTAATTCATGGGGTGTGATGGCCTCGGGTGCGCGCTTCCATCGCGAAGTTCGATGGTTCAAGCGTTCGGGGGCGCGCACCCCTAGTTATTTACGGGGATGCGGGGCCTCGGGCCCAGAAGTGCATTCTCGGGAAACCGCAGAAGGGGCAGGGGGTGGGGGGGGATGCCACCCGAACGCATAGAGTCAACCCGCATAGTAAGGATTGGCAACCTTCCCAAGGGTACCCTTGCATCCTTGCCTCCTCGGCCCATCCTTGGCCGCTTTCGCTGGCCGCGCCCCGCTCGAAAAGCTTCGAAATGGGCGTCCAAGGCCCTTGCATCCTTATCGGGCATCCTTGCAATACTGGGTTTTCTGCTCTGGAGAGGGTGTGGCGCCTTTGGGCAGCCTCCGTGGAGTGGCCCCGTGGCCTCGGGAGCGCCAGCGCGCAGTAATCTGCAATGGACTGCTGCTTCAGAGACGGGAACCTGTTGTTATTCACAGGAGGGGCTGTTGTTTCGGGGTCGCGAGCCTGGCGTCAGGGGTGGACCCAAACGGTGTTTTGGCGATTTCGTGGGCCGTTTTCGTTTCGATGTCGTTTTGCAGCAAATGTGAATCAAGACAAAGCGAGGAAAAACGAAAACAAAACGACAACGAAAAACACTGTTTAGGTCCAGCCCTGTCTGGCGTAATTCACCAGTGGACGTGCCGTTTTTGGAGCGCGAGTCTGGTGTATCTCAATAGGGGTTGTTGCTTGGGGGGCTCGAGCCTGGCGTCATTTGTATTGGGGTGGTGGCTTGGGGGGCGTGGGTCGGGCGTGAGTTACGAAGGCTCGTGGTTTGCGTAGCGCGAGCCTGGCACAATTTACGAGGGGGTTGTGTTTTCGGGAGCCCGCGTCTGACGTACTTTGCAAGGGACTGCGGCCTCGGGGGCGCGAGTCCGGAGTACTTTACATGGGGTTGTGGCTAGGAGAACGCGATCATTACGCAATTCATACGGGATTGGGGAACGCGAGTTTGGTATAATGAATGGCCTTTGGCCCATCCCGCCACCGTGCCTGGGTTGTGGGTCTAGAGCCTGTTGGATGTTCGTTGGGATGTCGTGGGGGGCCTCTCGGGGGCCTCTCGTAGGCAGTTTTGTAGCTTCTGGGGCCCGTTTGGGGCCTCCGGGGGCCTCTTGGCCTCTGGGGGCCTCTTGGGGGTAGTCGTAGTAGTAGTAGCAGCAGCAATACAAGGGACTGAGTTCCTTGCGCTGACTGTGCACATCCTGCGCGTCACCTGTGGCAGATTGCTTGCGGTTTCCTAAGGCCTCCCGAGAGACCCTGAGGAACCTTTAGAACGAATCTGCGTCCTGAGGATTGCTTGTCAGCGCTCATGGCTGGGGATTCCTGGGGACTCCTACGGATGTCCGGAGGTTCGGAAAAAAAGGTTCCTCAAGATTCCCGAGGGGTCTTCTGAATTTCTGCGGACTCTTGGAGATTCCGACAGTTCTTGAAGATTCCCGAGGCAGCCTTGGGATTCTTGATGATGCCTGAGGGTTCCTCAGATAATTCCGATTTCAGGCTTTCTGAGGATTTCTCGTCCGCGCTGATGATTCCTGGGGATTCCTGAGGATTCCGTATAAACTATTCCCTACGATTCCTGTGGATTCCTGCGAATTCCTGCGAATTCCTCGCGATTCTGATGCGTTCCTGAAGATTGATTCCCGAGGACGCCCCAGGTCTCCTGATGATTTCTGAGGGTCCCTAGGACAATTCCCAAGGATTTCTAAGGCTTTCAGACGAACTTTTTGTCCGCGCCGATGATTCCTGGTGATTCCGGAAGAGTCGTGCGATTTTCTGGAGATTCTTAGAACAGGTTCCCCCCGAATCTTGGGGATTCGTATGAATTCTTCTGGATTCTTTCAGATTCTTACGGGTTCCCGAAGATTCCCGACGACGCCCCAGGGCTCCTGATGATTCCGAAGGATTCGTCGGAGAGTCTTGAAGGATCCAGGAAGTTTCTTAGAGCTCGTAAGGCTTCCTGTTGACGCCTCATGGTTCCTGAGGGTACCCCGTGGCCCTGAAGGATTCCACACGGTTTTGAGTTTTCCTGAGGAGCCCTGATGATCCCTCAGGAACCAGCCTGAATCACCAGGAGGCAATCGGATCCAATAGGAAAGCGTGCGAAGCAATTAAATCAATCGGCATCCATCGGAATCCATGGGAAAGCAGTAGTCAGCATGAATCAATACGAAACAGTAGGAATCAACAGGAATGAAAAGCAAACAGTCTGATTAAATCCGAAGCCAGATGAAAATTTAATCAGTAGGTACCAGAAGGAACGAAAAGGATCATCAGGAATCAATAGGAATTATTTGGGACCAACGGGATTCAAAGGGAATCGCGATGTAGGAATCAATACGAACCAGTAGTAACCAATAGGATTCAATGATAATCAATGGGAACCAATAGAAATCGACAATAATCACTGGGAATTAATAGGAGTCATTCGGAACCCGTAAGAGTCCATGGGAATCCGTAGGAGGCCGTAGGGGCCAGTAGGAATCATTGGGACTCGATGAGCATGAATAGGAATCAATGGGAACCAATAGGAGTCATTCGGGATCAACAGGGATCCACATAAATAATGAAACCACACAGGCCGATCCGAAACCCAATCTTAAACCAAAACCAACACTCAATCTCGAACCGAACCCCTTCCGTCCATAGATGACACGCTACCTTAGTAGTAGTAAAGGTTGTATTGGTAGTAGTCGTAGTCGTGATAGTAGTAGTACCAGTAGAAGCAGTAGTAGTAGTAGTAGTAGTAGTAGTAGTAGTCGGAGTAGTAGTAGTAGTAGTAGTAGTAGTAGTAGTATATAGTAGTTAGTCGTGTAATAGTAGCTTCGTAGTCGTCGTAAGTAGTAGTAGTGGTAGTAGTAGTAGTAGTAGTAGTAGTAGTAGTAGTAGTAGTAGGAGTAGTAGTAGTAGTAGCAGTAGTAGTAGTACTCGTAGTAGTAGTAGTAGTAGTAGTAGTAGTAGTAGTAGTAGTAGTAGTAGTAGTAGTAGTAGTAGTAGTAGTAGTAGTAGTAGTAGTCGAAGTAGTCGACGTAGTAGTACTAGCAGTAGTAGTGGTAGTAGCAGCTAGTGGAAGTAGCAGTAGTAGTAGTCGTAGTAGTAGTGGTCGTAGTAGTAGCCGTAGTAGTAGTAGTAGTAGTAGTAGTAGCAGCAGTAGTAGTAGTAGTAGTAGTAGTACTAGTAATGCGAGGAACTGTTGTAGTCATCGTAGTAGTAGTATCAGTCGTAGTAGTAGTAGTAGTAGTAGTAGTAGTAGTAGTAGTATTCGTAGGGTTCGCAGTAGTAGTAGTAGTAGTAGTAGTAGTAGTAGTAGTAGTAGTAGTAGAAGTAGTAGTAGTAGTAGTAGTAGTAGTAGTAGTAGTAGTAGTAATAGTAGTAGGTAGTAGTACAGTCG